AATATATATATATATATGGGGGGTTTGGGGACCAGCCGGTGGTGTGGTGGTTGAAAGTAGCTTAACGTGGTTCATGTCCTGGTCCAGGTGGCTTGAAAATTGAGCTGGGTGTGTGTGCGTGTCCAAGATCCTGAGTGTTGAATGGAGAAGGAGGTAGGCAGTGTGGCCAGTCACCAGCTTGGGCGGCCACTTCTCTCTCCTCTCTATCTCTGGCAAGTACATGTGCCCTATGGTAAAAATCTAAAAGAAATTAAAAACAGGTTTCTCGGTGGGAGTATCAAGGGGAACAGTGTCAGATGTGCTTTTTTACAGGCTTTACCTTCATTATCTCGTTTCTTGTTTCTAATAGGAAATATTGTCAACAAAATACTGCTAACTTCCTTTCTGCCCCCTCTTCCCTGCCTCCCTACTCTGCCTCTCTGCTTCTCACCCTCACCTTCGGGTTCTCGGGAGGTTTATATAGGTTTGTATATGAGGGCATTTATTGGAGGGATCAACTCACATGATTACGGCAGCCAAGAAATCCCATGACTCTGGGGTGCTAGTGGCGGCCCAGCCAAGCCCAAAGGCGGCAGAGGCAGGAAGCCAAGGATGTAACTCTCAGTTCCAGACTAAAGCCCGAGAAAGACGGGGCAGGGAGGGGACTGGTTTGAGTCTAGGAGTCCAGAGGCAGGTGAACCTTGAAAGCTGGTCAAGGCAGCAGGAGTCGCCTGTCCTGGGCTCTCAGACCCGTTAGTCCGTGTTCGTCCCCCCACAATGAGGGCACTCTGTCCCGACCTAGTGTGCTCACTCTCGCGTTACTCTCCACGGGACTCTGCAGACACCAGAGCCATGCTCTAGCAGGTCTCCACGTGTTCTGCACTGCAGGCCAGTTGGCACCGAGTGCTAACTATCCCACCTGCCAATGTTCTGTGTTCTCTCTTCCTCACACCGAAGGAGACACGTGCTGTGATGGAGAAGGCACCGTGCGAGGCTGCTTTTGTCTCTCCCTCCTCTAGGGAGGAGAGTTATCCTCATAATCTATGTTACGTTTCCTGGACTTCCGCGTTTCTTTCCCTTTTCTCAGGTCCGGGATTCGAACCATGCCGTCGGCCACGTGGGGTCCAGAGCCTTAGCCACCGCACTACCTGCTGGTCCTTTCATGCTTTATATACAGAGCAGTGTGGGTTTATGAGAAACTCAAGAAAGACTCCGTTTTCTTAAATTTTGCCAGAGGGTGCATGTGGTTGCCAGTGAGATGGGGGGAGAGGGAAAAAGAGATGATCATGCCGCAGTCCCTCCATGTCTCCCTCCTGTTGAGTTTGGGCATATACGCACCTGCACCCACTGTGTTTCTTCATTCACTAGGCCTAGGACTCAACCGCGTGCTTGACCACATGGGATCCAACCTTCTTAGCCACCAGGACACAGAGCTGGCCTGAGACATTTTTAAATAGTAAATTAACAAAGTGACATCAAGTATACATTTGTCATCTGCCCTTCTTTTTTTTAAGGTTTTTGCCATAGGAGATGTACAGTTGCCAGAGAGAGAGAGACAGTGAGGGAAAGTGAAAAATTAACCCTTAGGGGATGACCATGGTGCAGCCCCTTCTCCATTCTCCTGGGATTTGAGGCACACATGCACACACACCTGGGTTGCCTTTCAAGCCGCCAGGTCCTGTACTTGAACCACGGTCAGCCATGTGGGAGTCCAGTGCCCTAACAGCTACTCCACCTGCTGGTCGCCATATCTGCCTTCTTTAAAATGGAAGAATTATTTTTCACAGGTTATTTTGAAATTGTCCTTCTCTAAATGAGTTATTACTGTTAAACACATTTTTTGTTCTTCGATTTTTGTTAAAGAGCAAGTGCAATCCCTGGAGAGAGACAGAGGGAGAGTGAGAAATCACCTCCCAGGGAGGAGGGCCCATCACAGTTCCTTCTCTTCTATTCTCCTCTGAGCATACACGCCCAGCATGTTTTCAAGCCTCCAGGTTCAGGACCCAGCGCCTTAACCCTATGTCATGGTCGGCCCGGTTATGCAGTCTTTTCAAATTTAAACATCTGTTGTCTGTAGTTATGGTAGAGCCCTCCAGCCCATTGGATCTTGTGTGCTTGTATGCTCAGTGTGCTTCAGGCTGCCTGGGCTGGGAAGGCAAACCTCAGTCCCCATGGTTTCTCTCTCTATTTATTTATTTAGACCAGAGAGGGACAGAGTGAGAGAGAGGAAAGTGAGAAAGCAAGCCGCCAGGTCCAGGACTCGAACTGTAGTTGGCCATATGGGAGTCCAGCACCCCTGACCACCGAACCACCTGCCAGCCCCAACCATGATTTCTTGAGCAGCTCATTACCACTGTGCCATGGAGCTGACCCGAAAATAGGAATTCTTTTGTTTTTACTTTTTTTGCTATGGGCGTGTGCACTGGCCAAAGAAAGAGATGAAGAAAGAAAATGAGAAACTGCCCGTTGGGGATGGCCACACCACAGTCATTTCTCCTCCATTCTCGTCTCAGGATTTGGGGCACACATGCACACACACCTGGCGTGTTTCTCAAGCTACTGAGTCTGGGACTCAAACCATAGAGTCAACTCTGTGGGATCCAGCACCTTAACCGCTATGCCATCTGTTTACCCATGGATAGAAAATTTTTTAATGTGTTTTTCAGTGCTATAGTCCAAACAGAACAATGCCTCACACTCAGTACATGTTTTTTGAATGAATGAAGATTATTGTGATTGTTTTTGAGCGACTCAAAGAGCTGTGCTGTTATTAGATGAAACTGAAGGCCATGCAGCCGGTAGGGGCCCGAGTGTGGCACACACAACCCGCATAGCTGTGGGAGAATTTCGGTAGCACTTCCCAATGCCGGCATTCGATTTCAGCCCAGTAATCCTAGCCTCAAGTGCTTCGGAATTGATTCATCTCCAGCTAAAGCGGAGGGAGTTGTCAGGAGGGAGACAGAGTCTCTAGGACTGCTCACTGAAGCCCGGCTTCCCCAGGGCAAGAGAGCCTTTGGAGGGTTGGAGGAGCATCGTGTGCCTTTATTATTTTTTTCTTTTCTTTCTGTTTTTGTTTTACGACACAGACTTACCCGAGCTCAGCAAAGCCTTGCTCCGCTAGCATTTCTGACGGAGGTTGTGTTCTGCCACTGGGTTCTGGAGGTGACCTCCAGCCACACAGCGGTAGGGCTGGAGGGCAGCAGTGCAGCTGCTAGAGAGCAGGGTCTCCCAGGACATGCCCCCTTCCAGGATGCCTGCCCTGGCCTCACCCCACCGGCTCCGGGGCTTCACTGCGTTCACCACGCTGTTCTGGGATTCGTCCCTGTGTCTGTGGCCCTGTGTGGCTGTGAGGTCCTTCTCAGCAGGGAGCTGAAGTCTCAACTGGTCATCCAGCTTCACCCGGAAACTCCAGGGCTGCCTGGGCATCTCTTTCATTCTGCCTTCTCTTTATTTCTTAAAAGACGTTTTTTGCTATTTGTTCACTAAGTCGACGTTTATCCACTGTGTATTATAGCATTCGTTGATTGAATGTGTGGAAAAGAATGAGGGCCAGCCGGCGGTGTGGAGGTTAGGGTGCTGGCTTCCTCGTGGCCGGCTGTGCATTTCAGGCCCTGGACCCAGTGGTTTGAGGGTCAAGCCAGGTCTGTGTACCTGTGTGCCCAGAATCCTGGGAGAATGGACAAGAAGGGATTGTGGTGTGGCCATGCCCGCGGCGGGTGGTTTCTCACTTTCTGTCTATTTCTCCCTGGCGAGCACACGTGCCCTATAACAAAACTTAAAAAAAAAAAAAAAAAAAAAAATTGAATACAAACCACAAAAAAAAAAAAAAAAAAAGAATTGAATTGAGCCCAGCCACAATAGTTCAGGAAGGAGGGTACTACTTCATAGTAGCCGAGCCCGCATGTGAGGCCCTGGTTCTGTTCCCAGCCCAGCATGAACCAGGCCAGTTATGGTGGTCTACACCTGTGGCCCTGGCTAACTGGGAGGTTGGGGTGGGAGCCATGATGTGGAGAGACCCTGTTAAAAACATCAAAAATAAAATAAAACCTTTCTTTTTTTTTAGAGGTTTTTGCTATAGGCCACATGCGCTCGCCAGACAGAGAGAGACAGAGAGACAGAAAGCGAGAAATCACCCCCTGGGGGATGGCCACGCCGCAATCCCTTCTCCTCCATTCTCCTCTCAGGATCTTGGGCACGCACGCACACGCACCTGGCGTGAGTTTAAGCCACCAAGTCCGGGACTTGAACCGTGGTCGACTACGTGGGAGTCCAGTGACATAGCCATTACGCTAACTGCTGGTCCCGAATAAAACCTACCTTTCACCTTTCTCGTTTTATCCCATATTCTCTCCCTTTCTTTAAAAAAGGAAGAAGCAAGGGCCAGCAGGTGGCATGCTGGTTAAGGTACTGGATTTCCACATGGCCGACCACAGTTCAAGTCCCAGACCCAGTGGTTTGAAAATCACACTGTGGGATGGGGTGGCAGCAGGTGGCATGGTGGTTAAGGGCACTGGACTCCCACATGGCCGACTGCAGTTGGAGTCTTGGACCTAGTGGCTGACTTTATCTTTCTCTCTCTCACTCTCTCTCTCTCTCTCTCTCTCATCAAATTGAAATAAAGTTTTTAAAAGGAAAATCACTGGGCACGGTGTGCATGCCTGCCCAAAATCCCAGGAGGAGAATGGATTGAGGCATGGGCATCCCCCCGGGGGGTGATTTCTCAGCTAGTGCACACACCGTTTGGCAAAAACCTTACACACACAAATTACATGACAGATGCTAAGTTCCCTAGCTTTGGAGCAGAGCAGTTTAATTCAAGACTGTTCTAAATTCTCTGTTAGCTTGAGTCTCATAGTCTCACAAGGTGAACACCCTTATTATCCTCATCTTCTAGATGAAAGCGTTAGGCAGAGAGTGGGCTCCGAGTGCCGCTCGGGTGCAGAGGACACCATGGGAACAACTTGTCTTATGCGCCTGTGTTCTAATGTTCTCACCAGGAGCTCCTGTAGCTATTAAACTGAACCCGAGAGTAAAACAGTCCTCTTTTCCATTTGTGAGAGGACACATGTGCTCATGGAGGGTAGGGGAATAAGAACGCACCCTCCATGGGGACAGTTATGCCACCATCCCGTCTCCGTTTCTCAGGGTTTGGGGCACGAACATACACGCACCTGGCGTGTTTTTCAAACCACCGGGTCTGGAACTTGAACTGTGCAGTCAGCCATATGGGGTCCAGCCGCCTTCACCACCACACCACCTACCGGGCCTAAGTTTTTATTAGTAAATCCAGTTTGTTTCTCACTTTCCCTTACCGTTAGCTCCTTTAGAATTAATCTGTTGAGAATCCAATATTCACTGTATTGGAGAGACAGGAAGAGGATGTTGGCTGTACCCCCAGGAGGAAATCATGAAGCTTTTTGTAGAAAAAGAGTTAGAAGAAGCCTGGTTATCACCCCAGATCCAATGTAGGGCCGCCCTTCCCATTGGTTATCACTGGCAGGGGCCAGAGGTCTGCATGTGGGTGACAGCAGCAGCCCCCACCTGCACCCCCAAAGACAAGATCAGAAGGACACAGAAAATAGAAAAGTGATTCTAAAGGCTGGGAAAGGAGAGGGGAGGATCAAGGGATGTCGAAACAAAACAAAATTACAGGTATAACAAGAGCTAGTGTGATCACGGTGGAGTGGAGTGAGCAGTTAGAAAGTTCCTGTACCTCAGAGTAACTGAAGAGACAGGTTTTCAGTGTTCTGTCACAGTAGTGATAAGTGGCCGAGGCGAGAAATACCCTACCTACCCAGATTTAGTCATTACACACTGTTCTCATTCTGAGAAATTGCACCCTGCAAGTATGTGCAGTTCCCACGTGATCATAAAGTAAAAAAAAGTATGTATCTTAGAGATTTGTTTTTGCTGTACGTGACGTGCACTCACCAGAGAGACAGAGAGAAGGAAAGTGAGAAATCACCAGTCAGGGGGATGGCCGCACCAAATCCCTTCTCTATTCTCCTTGGTGTTTTGGGCACGCACACACACGCCCAGGGTGAGGACTCCAACTGTGGTCAGCCATGTGGGAGTCCGGCGACATAGCCATTACGCTAACTGCTAGTTCCCTCAAATTCATTTTTTTAAAAGGGCTTTGTTGGAGGAAAGGGCTCCATAGGCTAGTGGTGTCATTTTATTTGGCCCCTGGTTAAATAAATGTAAGATCTACATTTAGATTTTCCAGATGTTCAGTATCTTGGCTGTTTTCAGCATGCTCCATTGTTGTTTTGTTGTGTTGTGTTGTGTTGTGTTGTGTTTTTTTACAGTTTGCCACAGTGTGCATGTACTCACCAGAAGGGTTAGTGAGAAATCACCCCCGGGGCAATAGCCATGCCACAGTCCCTTCTCCTCCATTCTCCTCTCTGGATTTTGAGTGTGCACACATACACACACTTGAGCCCTTAAAATTGCCAGGTCTGGGACTCGAACTGTACTGTTGGCCATGTGGGATCCAGTGCCTTAACAGTCATACCACCTGCCGGCCCAGCGGGCTCCATTTGTGATGGACAGACTAGAAGGGCTGAACAGGTGTGTGAGTCATAAAGCCGTTTAGGTGTTAGGCTGTTCTAGGATGCCCAGACACTGTATAGCCTTGATTGTGTTACCCCAGCGCCCCACGTGTGTCCCTAAGTAGGAACACAGAAACTCTGGGAATTGTTGGCTATGGCTGTTAGTCTCAGATTTGTGGTCAAGATGATGACGACACCAGTTAAGGTCCGTTACAGGGCAGCCAGGTGAAGAGCTTGCCGTGGTTCAGTGGGACGCACCCTAACAGTCTTCTCTCCCCACTTGCAGTTAAACGAACTAGTGGTAGGCGACACCAGCGGGAAGCTGTCTGTGTACAAGAATGACGACAGCCGGCCGTGGCTCACCTGTTCCTGCCAGGGAATGGTCAGTACTCACCCGGGACTGCAGGGGAAGAGGGCCCTGCGGTCCAGGCGCTGTGAGTCCCACACAGGAGCTCGGCAGGTGTCCTGTCTCCCAGGTCCCCAGCCCAGCCACTGTGTCAGGGAGGGCTGCTGCCAGGCAGAGCCCTCATCTGCCCCCGCCACGCACACATCCACGCACACATCCACGTACATGCACACGCACATACACGTACACACGTGCTCACACACCAAGCCGCACTGCTCTTTGTTGTGTGGAGTACCTCTCGGTACTCTGGAGGCTGCCCAGGGTGTCTGCTCTTATAAAGTGGAGTCAGTAACTTGGGTAAGTCAGGGAGTAGGAGATGATCTAGCTTTGTTAGATGTAGGGCTGGGCCTGGTTTTTTTTTTTTTTTTTTTTTTTTTTTTTTTGTTTTAGAGTGTGTGTGCTATAGAGTGTGTGCACCAGCCAGAAAGACAAAGAGAGACAGACAGAAAGCAAGAAATCACCCCCTGGGGGATGGCCACGCCACAATCCCTCCTCCTCCATTCTCTTCTCTGGATCTTGGGCACACATACACTGATGCCCGGCTTGTGTTTAAGCCACCGGGTCTGGGACTCGAACCATGATCGACTACATGGGAGTCCAGCGACATAGCCATTACACCAGCTGCTGGTCCGGGCTTGGCCTGGTTTTAGGCCCCAGCTGCCCTGCCTGCCTCAGGTCTTCCCGCTGCTGTGTGAGTAACGGCACTGACAGGATGAGCACTCCGTTCATACACGCATGCAACATGGCTCACGGGGCACACGTGCCAGCGCACGACGGCAGTGAAGACGTCTGCCCGGCTTCGCAGAGGCTGGGAGGTCCCGGGCTCCCTCGGCGTCTCCCTGAGCCCCCTCTCTCTCCTGCAGCTGACTTGCGTTGGGGTTGGAGATGTCTGTAACAAAGGAAAGGTAGGAGCCCCGGGGACCTTGCGACTCGGTGTGACTCCAGGGCTGCACCTCGATCCCTGCCTCCCAGTGGAGACTGGCGGAGCCGGGACCTCTGTGGTCTGTGCCAGGCTCACACCCAGACCCTCTCTGGCCCTGCCCTTCCCAGAACCTGGTGGTGGCCGTGAGCGCCGAGGGCTGGTTTCACCTGTTTGACCTGACACCCGCCAAGGTCCTGGATGCCTCGGGGCACCACGAGGCCCCGGCGGGAGAGGAGCAGCGCCCGGCCTTCAAGCAGCACGTCCCCGCCAACACCAAGGTCATGCTGATCAGCGACATCGGTGGGCATGGCCGCCGGCGGGCAGTGGGCACTGCAGCCCATCCCAGGGGCCGGGGCCGGGAGGGCTCGTGTCCTTCAGGTGTTGTTGTGATCCTGCGTGGTGGCCGAGCTCTGCTGCCGCTGTGATAAGCCGGTGGTGGGATTGCAGTCAAACAGGAAAGTGGCTGCCCTCGGGCCTTCCGGGGAGAGAGGGGAGAAACGGAAGGTATTTTATACGAGAGCTGGATGGCACATGAGAAGGTGACAGGGGCCGTGGAGGAGATGAACATGGAAGGGCTAGAGTGCGTCCAGTGGGGTTGTAAAGAAGCCGGCCCTGAGGAGGTGACACTTGGTGAAAAATGGAAGGTGGCCAGAGAGTGAGCCACAGGGCGAAGGGGGAAGGGGAGCAGTTCATGGAAAATGCTTATTATGAAAAACTTTGTATGGATTTCAAAAAAATGTTTGTACCTAAATAGCCCATACCTTAATTTCTCTTGTCGACAACCTCTTCATTTATTTTCTGCCAGAGGGCATGTGCACTTGCCAGAGAGAGACAGAGACACCGGAGCAGATGGGAGGAGGGTCACACCACAGTTCCTTCTCCATTCCTCCACCCCATCGGGATTGGGGGCACACGTGTGCACTCAGTGCATTTCTCAAGCCTCTGAGGCTAGAGTTTGCACCACAGTTAGGACGCGGCTCCTGTAACCCCTGGCCTAAGGGAGCAACCTAAGGGGCTGGCCCCGCACAGTCTTCCCGAAGTCCTAGCGCAGACCCAGGGCTGCTGTCTGGCCAGCAGCAGTTTTGCAGGTGGAGTAGGCAGAGAGGAGAGATGAAGACATGAGGGCCGGGCATCTGAGAGGAGGCACGTGGGTGGGAGTGACAGACCTGCAGGCCAGAGGGGCACGGAACGCTCTGAGCTCAGCAGGGGCAGGGCCAGCAGAGCAGCTGGCAGAGGGCCGGGGCCAGGCAGGTGCCTGTGGGACGGTGTGACCAGCTCGCGGTGGCTCCACGCCCACGTTGCTTTCTGTTCCACAGACGGAGATGGCTGCTATGAGCTGGTGGTCGGTTACACCGACCGTGTGGTGCGGGCCTTCCGCTGGGAGGATCTGGGTGAGGGCCCCGAGCACCTGGCAGGACAGCTGGTGTCCCTCAAGAAATGGATGCTAGAAGGTCAGGTGAGAGGCTGAGCTTGGGGACGCAGGAGCCCAGAGAGCAGGGGAGGGCCTTGGAGGAGGCTTCTGGGCCAGGGCCAGGGCCAGGGCAGAGGGAAGAATCTCACAGCAGGTCCTTGGGGGAAGCTGCTAGTGACAAGCAAGCGGGAAGGAGTGGCGGCAAGAATCCGTGTGGGGAGGGGTGGAGGGGCTACAGCAGGACTGGGCCTCAGCCGGGCTGGGCGCCGTGGGAAGCCGCTCTGGGTGGAGAGGAGCCTGGGGACCCCAGGACCCACCCTACCTCGCCCCTTGCCCTGGTGCAGGTGGACAGCCTCTCGGTGACCCCGGGGCCTCTGGGTGTTCCTGAGCTGATGGTGTCCCAGCCGGGCTGTGCTTATGCGGTCCTCCTGTGTACCTGGAGCAGGGACGCTGGGTCCCCGCCTGCCTCTGAGGGGGCCGCGGAGGGCAGTAGGTAAGGGGTCCAGGCCGGAGCACGTGCGGGGCTGTGGGGACATGATGGCCTCCAGGGGATGCCTGCAGGGGCGAGTCTTCTCCATCTAGGCCCACCCAGGCTCCCGTTACAGAAGGTTATCTTGAGACCCAGGGACTCGGGATGCGCCTTACAGCCCTGACGGGTTCCAAGCTCCCAGCCTCGCAGCCCCACGCCTCCCCTTTCCCTGGGGACCTTCCCACGAGGGTCAGCCTTGCAGGGCCAAGCCCCACCACCAGGCCTCTCCACCCGTGCCTCTGTTTGCACGTGGGCCAGGCAGGATCGAAGACGGGTTTCTAGCTGATTCAAAGGCTGGAGCAGGGACTGGGGGCCACAAAAGGCCTCGGTCTCCACTGCCCTCCTGCCCACAGGGAGAGCCCGGCCGCCCGCGATGTGGTGCTGCACCAGACGTCTGGCCGCATCCACAACAAGGACGTCTCCACCCACCTGGTCGGCAACATCAAACACGGTGGGGAGCGGCGGGGAGGGCGGCAGGGCCTCTGTGCCTGCTGCTGGCTGCCCCTCAGCCCGTAGGCTCCAGGCTCCCGCCCTTCACATTTCTCCTGTTCCCTCCATCCCTGTCAGGACACAGCCCTGAGGGTGGTGGCTCGGGCCTCTTTGCCCTGTGTACTCTGGATGGTGAGCGCTGGCGCCCATGGTGGGAGGTTGTGTGTCCATGGGTCTGCTTGGGCCCGCCCCCAACCACCTG